CAGAGTGCTATGGTATTATAGATCACAACAACCTTAAACTCTTGTGATCTTCTTGCCTCAGCCTCCCAAGTGGCTGGAACTGTAGGTGCCTACCACAACACTTGGCTATTTTTTAGAGACAGGGTCTTATTCTTGCTCAGGCTGGTTTTGAACTCCTGAATTCAGGCAAACCATCCATCTGCCTCAGATTCCCAAAGTGCTGGGATTACAGGCGTGAGCCACTGTGCTACACCCTAAAGCACTTTTTATAAAAGTATTAGCATACAAAACTTTGGAATATGAATAAATATTTTTTGTTAAGTTTTATTTTTAATTTAGTTTAATTTTATTTTTTTGAGACAGAGTCTCACTTTGTCATCCTTAGTAGAGTGCCATAGTGTCATAGCTCACAGCAACCTCAAACTCTTGGGCTCAACTGAGAGTATCTCAACTGAGATAGTCTTGTCTCAGTTTTTCGTCTTTAGTAGCGATGTCAGGCTGGTCTCGAATTCCTGAGCTCAGGCCATCCACCCACCTCAGCCTCCCAGAGTGCTAAGATTACAGATGTGAGCCACCATGCCGGCTGACAAATACTTCTTTTGAAGAAAATAAAGACTTCATGGCTCAGCTCCAGTGGCTCAAGCGGCTAGGATGCCAGCCACATACACCTAAGGTGGCGGGTTCGAATCCAGCCTGGACCGCCAAACAACAATAATGGCTGCAACCAAAAAAAAATAGCCGGGCGTTGTGGCAGGCGCCGGTGGTCCCAGGTACTTGGGAGGCGGAGGAAGGAGACTCGCTTGAACCCAGGAGTGGGAGGTTGCTGTGAGCAGTGAAGCCATGGCACTCTACCCAGGGTGACAGCTTGAGGCTCTGTCTCACAAAAAAAAAAAAAAGAAAGAAAATAAAGACTTCGAGTCCAGTTCCCCAAAAACCTGGCTGGTGCTGTTTCAGTATATCCTTATCCACACTTATTCCTAGATTTGAACAAATAGAATAAAACTGTATGTAACTATTGTGTAATCTGCTTTCTTCAGTTACTCTTTTCACATCAATAGATAGGTACTAGCAACATCATTTTTTGCTTTTTCAAGTCTCATGATGACCTTCTTGAACAGATATTTGCATATGTACTTAATTATTCCCCTTGTGTAAATTTCTGTAAGTGGAACTGAATGTGCAGGTGTGAAAGGCTCTGATCATCCAGCCCAGGTGTCCTCAAACTACGGCCAGTGGGCCACATGCGGCCCACCTAGGACATTTATCCGGCCCGCCGGGTGTTTTTGCTGCCGCTGCCTGTCCTGCTTAGTAGCCAACTCGTCCCAGGGCCCGCAGTCCAGCTCTCCAACGGTCTGAGGGACAGTGAACTGGCCCCCTGTTTAAAAAGTTTGAGGACCCCTGATCCAGCCCCAGTAAAGTTGTGCTGATACAAACTCCCATTGGTAGTTTGTGTCTGATTCTCTGTCCCCTTGGCAACACCAAATGTTTGCCAAGTTAATAGGCATTTCATTCATTTTTTATATTTTTGATTATTAACCAAGATGAGCTTTATTTTTAGTTTTTTTTGTTTTTTTTTTTTCAAGATAAAGTCTCAGTTGGTACCTGTGGCCTAGTGGGTAGGTCGCAGGCTCCATATACCAAGGGATGCAAGTTCAAACCCAGCCCCAGCCAAATTGCAACAAAAAAATAACCAGGCATTGTGGCGGGTGCTTGTAGTCCCAGCTACTTGGAAGGCTGAGGCAAGAGATTTGCTAAGCCCAGGAGTTGAAGGTTGCTGTGAGCTGTGCTGCCACAGCACTACCGAGGGCGATAAAGTGAGACTCTATCTCTACCAAAAAAAAAATGAAGAGACAGAGTTTCACTTTGTCGCCCTGGGTAGAGTGCTAGGGCATCACAGCTTATAGCAACCACAAATTCTTGGGTTGAAGCAACTCACTTGCCTCAGCCTCCCGAGTAGCTGGGATGATAGGGACCTGCCACAACGCCCAGCTATTTTTAGAGACAAGGTCTTATTCTGGCTCAGGCTGGTTTGAATCCGTGAGCTCAGGCAATCTACCTGCCTCGGTCTTCCAGAATGTTAGTGTTATTTATTTGTTTTTTGAGACAGAGTCTCACTCTGTGTCCTCAAACTCCTGGGCTCAAGCAGCAATCCTCTTGCCTTAGCCTCTTGAGTAGCTGGGAGTTCAGGTACCTGCCACAATGCCTGGCTAGTTTTTCTTTTAGTAGAGACGGGGTCTTGCTGTTGCTCAGGCTGGTCTCAAACTCCTGAGCTCAAGTGATCCACCTGCCTCGGCCTCCCACAGTGAGTGCTAGGATTATAGGTGTAAGCCACCTGTTTCCATGTTTCATTAAAACCCAGCCGTGCTCTTATTTACATACTGTCTGTAGCTGCTTTCACACTTTAAAACCTGCCACAGAGGCCTGGTACAGTGCTTTATACCTGTAATCCTAGCACTGTGGGAGGCCAAGGCAGGAGGATCCTTTGAGACCAGGAATTAAATAACAGCCTGGGCAATGTAGCAAGACCCTATCGCTACAAAAAAAAAAAAAAGAAGAAGAAGAAGAAAAGTGTGCTGGGTGTGGTGGTGTGCACCTGTAGTCCCAATTGCTCAGGTGGCTAAGGCAAGAGGATCCCTTCAGCCCAGGAGTGTAAGGCTGCAGTGAGCTGTAATTGAACCACTGAACTCTGTCTTGGGCAACAGAGTGAGACTCTATCTTTAAAAAAAAAAAAAAAAGTCTGTCGAGAGGCTGAGGCAAGAGAATCACTTAAGCCCAAGAGTTTGAGGTTGCTGTGAGACTCTGTCTCAAAAAAAAAAAAGTCTGTAATCCTACCACTGTAGGAGGTCAAGGTAGGTAGATCACTTGAGCTTAGGAGTTCGAGACCAAGCTGAACAAAGCAAGACCTGGTCTCTACTAAAAATAGAAAAGTTAGCTGGGCATCATGGTGGATGCCTATAGTCCCAGCTACTCAGGAGGCTGAAGCAAGAGGATTGCTTGAGCCCAAGAAGTTAGTGTGAGCTGTGACGATGCCATGGTACTCCACCCAGGGCAACAGAGTGAGACTCTCAAAAAAAATAAAATCTTGCCGGAGATTTCATGATGCACAAAGTCTAAAATAGTATCTTGACCCTTTTTAGATGTTTGCTGGCCCTGATACAGCCCACTCTCTGGGCTGACTGTGGAAGCAGCTTGTTTCTCCCACCCATTAGTCCTGTAGAGTGGGGATGTAGTCAAGACTTGGAAGGTACTGTGGAGAAAAGCCACAGAGGCACAAACAGGTAGTGAACAGGTGGATCCAAGTTTGGGAGGGAGAGAGAATGTAGGTGCTGTGACTTTTGGAGGGTTTCAGAAACATTTACTCCTGCTTGTACACTGAATCACTGTGCTGTTAAGCCAGTGGAGATCAGTTTCAGGAGTTTACGCCTCTCTGGGAGAGCTTCAGAGTGATCAAGGTAAGAGCAGGGGTCTATGGGAAGAAGGACATGCGTATTGCTAACATAACTTTGTTCTTGGACCCTAAAAAGTGCATGGGAGGTAAGCCCTTGAACAGTGCTGTTTCATTGTCCTGAGACAGTGACAGGAAGGAACTGTTCTCATCCTCCAGATCCGGACCATTGCCATCATAGCTGAAGGCATCCCAGAGGCCCTTACAAGGAAGCTGATCAAGAAGGCAGACCAGAAGGGGGTGACCATCATTGGACCAGCCACTGTGAGCATCCCCTCCCCGCAAAAGCCTTTAGAGTTCAAGGCTATCTTAAGAAGTTTAGGGCCCTTAGGATGTCACTTGCTGACTCTTCTGTCTCCCTCTAAGGATGAAAGACTCAGGAAGTATCTGTTGAAAGTCAGTCTGTCACTTTCCAATTAATTTTTTAACAGTTTCTTTCCTCGGTCAGTATCATCTTCATAGTTTCAAGGGGCTAATGAGAAGTTGTTTTAGTTTCTGGTTTTTCTTTTTGCAGTTTTTGGCCGGGGGCTGGGTTTGAACCCACCACCTCTGGCATATGGGGCTGGTGCCCTACTCCTTTGAGCCATAGGTGCCGCCCCTAGTTTCTGTGTTTTTTAAAGAGTTTGTCTATCTTCATATAACCATAGCACTATCTTTGATGATCCCTTTAACTATAATCCAAAGAGTAAGCAGACCGGAGGCCTTATTTTTTTGAACCCATCACGTCTGGCATATGGAGCTGGTGCCCTACTCCTTTGTGTCACAGGCGCCACCCTGGAGGCCTTATTTTTAACCAAAAGGAATTAATCTAAGACTCATAAGCTCTGAATGTTTTTGTTGTTTGTTTTTTCTTAGCTATTACATTAAGAAGTTGAAGCTAGGGTCTTTGAACGAAGCGAGGGAGGGACTTTTTATCTCAGAGGGAAGCATTGATTTTGAGCAGAGAAGCTTAGGTCTATTATCTTTGCTGGATGCGGTAGCAGCCTTTCTGGGGCAAGGAAAGTGACTTGACTTTAAGTATATTTCTCTGGGTAAGTAAAGAGCCATGATTTGTAAATAAGGCTCTCTTTTTTTCTGTGGAATATCTTAGAGAGAGGAGGGATTCTTTCTATGCAGGAAACCCCAAGGGCAGGTTCTTTCACCCCTTCTTTGTGATTCCTCTAAGCCCTGTGATGAATCAGGAGGTTTCTTTCCCCCCCCGACTATTGTTTCTGCCCCCGCAGGTTGGAGGCATCAAGCCTGGGTGCTTTAAGATTGGGAACACTGGTGGGATGCTGGACAACATCCTGGCCTCTAAGCTGTACCGCCCAGGCAGTGTGGCCTACGTCTCCCGTTCTGGAGGCATGTCCAATGAGCTCAACAATATCATCTCTCGGACCACAGATGGCGTCTACGAGGGCGTGGCCATTGGCGGGGACAGGTAATCAGCTGGGGGGCAAGAAGAGGTCGCCCATGTTGAGAGACTAGATTAGGTCCTGTGGGCTGCTTGCTGTCACATCGGAATATTGCTAAAGTCCATAAAATGGGGCATTTCGATAAGATTGATAGAGCATGACATCAGAAAATAGGGAAATGTGGCGTTTTGAGTTGGTTTCTATTTTTGCGTGTTTGTTTTATCATCCTGATTTAAGGGCATATGTGTTTTTAAAACATGTTTGAGGCCCATTGTGGTGCCTCATGCCTATAATCCCACAACTTTGAAAGCCCGAGGTAGGAGGATTGCTTGAGGCCAGAATTCAAGACTAGCCTGAGCAACATAATAGGACCTCACCTCTACAAAAACTGGAAAAGTTACCTAGGCATGGTGGCAGGCACCTGTAGTCCTAGCCACTTGGGAGGCTGAGGCAAGAGGATCACTTTAGCCAAGGAGTTTGAGGTTACTGTGAACTATAATGATGCCACTGTACTCTAGCCTGGGTGACAGAGTGAGACCACATCTCTAAATAAATAAACCAAGACCCCATCTCTAAATAAGTAAATAAATAAACAAACAAGCAAGACCCTATCGCTGTTTAAATAAATAAAAGAGTGTTTGAGTTTGGGGGGTAACTTTGTTCTTGGTTGGCCAGAGGGAAGCAACAGAATACAGTTGCTGGGAGGGCCAGGTGTACAATTAACCAAAGATGTTCAAATTCCAATTTCTCTTTTTTTTGAGGCGGTAACTATGATCAGTAGTTCATCAGTAGAGTAAAAATCTGGCACATAGTTAGTCCATAATAAGTGTTATTCATTCCTATTTAGTATTATGACTGCCATTATTGCTAGGGTAGAAACCAAAAGCTGTTGAGTGAGTCACCTTATCTGTCTCCCAGGCTTTACTAAGTCATGTTAGATGGGAGACCTTCGAGGGTATGGCCTGGGGAACTCAGGTCCTTGGGTGCTCCCTGAGCAAAGAAAGATTCCAGGTCAGGTAAGTCTAGGAAATGCCGCCTGTTAGACTACATGTCTTCTGACACATGAAGATCCACAGAGAAACCTGCTTGGCCTTAAGCAATCCTTTTGCAAGTTCATATGGCAGTAGGAAAAACGTATAGGACTTCTTACAACAACCTGCCATCCTAGGACATAGCGTGGCATGCTGTATTAATTATTTTTCTGTAAAAATATCACCCCAAAACAAAGCAGCTTCAGACTGTGAAAAATATTGATCTTCTAGGTTCCTGTGGGTCAGGATTCAGGAGATGCATGATTGGACAGTTCTGGTTTGTGGGGGTGAGAGTGTCTCTCGAGCTTCTAATTAGATGCCGGCACGGCTATGGCTAGTTGATGACTTGCCTGACACTTGAGGTGGCTGTTCACATGGCCAGCAAGTTGGCCGTTCTCTGTGGGCTAC